AAGGACAGCAACTTGTCTGTTCCCCTTCCCCCAATTCCCCAGCACTGTTCCCATCCCCCCAATTCCCCAATAAAAATCTTAATAAAAAAAAAAGATAATACAGTATATCTCTAGTATTAAAGTTTCATGGAGAGAAAAATATCTAAAAGGCTTCTTATGGACAGTGATTTTTTTTAAAGTTAAGAAATATTGATATAAAAGAAACTGAAACTTTTCTTGACAATTATGTCAAATTTTTATAATTACACACAATATCACTATCTTCCAAGATTAGGCTGCTTATAGGATGGTTATTTTCAGGGACAGATGTGACTTGAACGACAGCATCACCAATATTCCTTTGTGCACAGATAGTGATTATCAGAGTTATAGCAACTATAACTCTTTTCTCTCTCTTACATAGGACCAAATCTCCAAACATTAAAAGAAAACTTTTAAAACTGAAATATTAAGTTTCTGATACCAGTAAGAGAAAAATATGGATAATTACTTAAAATGGCGATTTTAGCAACAGCTGAAAAGATGAAACATTCTAAGAAAGCAGCTGAGCTCTCACCACTGGACCATCCTGCTACTTAGGTAACCCCCTCTCATATTTTTTGATGAGCAACGTCTAAAAAATAAAAACGTTAGTAAAGAATGTATTCAACTTAGCTTTTGGTCAAATAAGTCATAGTGAAAATCTGCAGCTGACTTGTCTTTTTAAAAATAAATGTGAAAGCCAGGACAGTCCTGGGAAATCAGAAACTTCCTAACTGAATCACAGAGAATACACCACTTGCCATTTAACTGCTACAAAGGATCTTTACAAAGATGCCCACAGGCCAATGTGTCAGGACAGGAGAGATGCCAAATGAAGTAACATAATGAAAGGTTTCTATGGCAGTAGATGAGTCTGCGGAAAGAAGGTAAGAAATTTCAGTGAAATCCTAAGTATTAGAAGTGATCTATGACAATGATGATAATGACTATATGGTAATGAGAAGAAAAAGAAAAAAGGGGAGGGGGGGCAATGTCAGAGCTAATTCTACCCATAAAGAGAAGAGAGTTATTCAGGGTTCAGCCAGCCCAGCTCATCAGTTGGTCTTCTGGGCTGTAAACCACAGCCCCTATTTAGTCATAAATGACAGAAATTCCTGCCACAGGATGACCTGGCAGGATGCTTTTTCACCCAGTTCTGTCAACTCTGGCTCTATTGGCGCGTACAATTAGGACGTTCCAACAGGTACACCAGCTAAAAAGTCCTAAATGAGATGATCTGAGTCTTTCCTTCCAACGCAACAATTATTAGAAAACACGTGCTTCTCTGCCAGGGAAGTTCTAACAAAGCCTGTATGGAATTAGGTAGTTAAATGCAAACACTATAGTTCTAGAATGTAAGTTCTAAGAAGGCAGGGACCATGTCTCTTGCAAACTGCTATAGATGTTTGTTAAACGAACAAGCAAGTTGAATGAGCAGAGGATGAACCACATTTGGATAAATTTTTTGATATGAAGATTTAAAAATGATTTGTATCAATGCTGATGATTGAGAGTGGGTTCCTCTGAAAAGTGAAGAAAAACTTGCAAATTCGTGAACCTTCCAAATCATGAACATTTTCAACTCCCAAATGAGACTAAAATCAGGAAGGACTGGGGTCTGGTTCTCCTGTCACAGAATAAAGCAGAAATTTCCATTAAAAATGTCCTTTTAGCATTAAAGGTGATTAATAGTGAACAGAAGAGCTAAGACATTCTTCATTCTTCAGCTTAATTTGACAATTATTTTATTGAGTTCCTACAATTACTTAAGTGAAAAAATTTAAATGTATACATTTAAATGTAGTAATTTTAGAGGCTCTCACTTTTTAAAATGAAGCTAACTTTCACTAATTTCCTACAAAAAGAACACTCTTTACAATTATAAAAAACCTGGATGGAAATATAAAACACAAAGTAAAAAAAAAACCTAGACTCTAGTGCTGGCTTCTATGCACGGAATTGTGTTGCCCCACAAATTTATATGTTGAGGCCCTAATCCCCAATGTGATGGTATTTGAAGATGGAGCCTCTGGGGGGTAATTAGGTTTGGATGGGGTCATGAGGGTGGGGTCCTCTTGATGGGATTAGTGTCCTTATAAGAGACCAGAGGGCTTGCTTTCCTTTTCTCTCTACCAGTGTGGACACAGCTGGATATTTGCAAGCCAGGAAGAGGGCTCTGCCCAGGAATCATCTGAAGATACCTTGGTCTCCACTTCCCAGCCTCTAAAACTGTGAGAAATAAATATCTGTTGTGTGAGCCACCCAGCGTATAGTATTTTACTATAGCACCCAAGCAGACTTAAGACACTGGCCTAACCAACTAACACATGCAAGATACACAAGATAGAGTCCTGGCATGGATTACTATGGGGAAGCTTTGGTAGAAATCTATTGAGATCTGACTTTGATGAGTAGTAAGTCACATTTGTCTAGTTTCTTGTTCCTATCTTCTCTTCAACACCATCTCACAGAACTTTAATTATCTCATTGCTCCTCTGTTCTAAATTGGTTATTAAGAGTAAATATAAAGGGATAGGAGGTACTCCTGACTAAGACCAACTAGTTAAATACTAGTAATATCTAAAATAAAATCCATTTCTTCTAACCCTTGAGGACTGCTCTTAACATATACAAAAGCTATTTATAATTGGACAAGTGTGAGGAAATCTAGTATTTATCTTTAATACAATGGTTCTCAAACTTGAGTGTGCATAGAATCACAGGGGAGTCCCTTTAAAATCCCCTTTCCCCAGAAAGGCAGATGCTGTAAGGTCTCTGGACAAAGGAATCAACATTTTTCACAGACATCTCAATGACTAATGAGTGGAATGCAACCACATTTTTTGAGAGCAGCTGCTGCTCTATCAGAGGCTACTGAAAAAATAGCCAATATACACAGGTGTACTTTGCTTTATAACAGAGAAATGTTCTTAAAAATTGTAACCAAATTTGATTTTGTAAACTAAATTCTATTTTCCCACAACTTTAAATTTTTGAAGATACTTTATTCACTACGAGGTGTAGGAGTGGTTTCTTATACCTTCTTCTAAAGGTCAAATTCCACATTCTTCCTTTCCTCATCTCCACTTCAGGAGTTAAAGATTTAACAATTTAAGCATCCTTTTAAGAGTCTTGTCACACACTCCACTTCTCCCCAGTTTACCTGTTTTATTAATCAAGAATGTCAGTATTCTAAAAGTGGTTAATTCATAAACCTACCTTTGAAAACAAACCTTGAAAATGCAGGCTATCTCTGTAGTAAGGACAATGATTTCGTCAGAAATAGTTTTAAAGAGTAATTTACTTTTGGAAATCTTACTGTTATGCATTAGCTACAACAGTGTAAGATAAATGTTTCAACAAGAGAAAATATCAACTGAGTCAAGTCCGTCGTCATTTCTAACTTTCGTACAAAAATAGTCCATCCTTAAGAAAAATGTGTCTACTAAGTAATGTATTGGGTTGTCGGAAAAGTCATGACACATTTTTGCAACGAAAAACATAGAAAAAATACGTCATGACTTTTCCGACAACCCAATAGATTAGACACAGTGTATTGGAAATCAACAGTGAGATTTTTATTATTTCTTTCAGAGAAATAAGAAACATGTTTTAAAGCACCCATGGTGAATCAACACCAAATAAGAAATGTCATTTCTAGTACTGTGGGTTATTTGGGCAGAGGAAACAGCCCCAGACTGAAGACTGGCAAATTGTGTTCTAAACTCACTTTTGCTACAAAAGGGTCATGTGGCCTTGGTAAATAACCTCTTTGGGTCTAAATTTAATTCACAAAATAAAATGGTTAAATAAAAGTAACTTTGATTCCAAGAGATTAATTCACCCTTAAGTATTTACATCAAAAAGCATTTGTGGTATGTGATTCCTATAACGTGCTCGATCAAATGACATTAAAACGTAATTGGAAACGTGATACTTTAACTTAACTAAGACTGTCCTTGTAAGCTATCAGTTACGTATCTTTGTACTTTGCTTCTTTGAAAGATTGTATACTTTGAACATCTAAATTTTCACATGTTGTATAGTATTGAACTTCCTTAAAGCAAGGTATATATGTACTATAATCTGTTTCTGTAAAAGGAAAGAATGTATCTTTTCAGTCCTTTCTAATCCATTGTCATTGCTGACTCTTGGAAAAAAACACAAAACCTTGAAGTCTTAACCACTGAAACAATAGTGTTGCAGTAATTACATCACAGAAATAACATTTCTTTCCTGAAATACTCAAAGATAGTCTCCTGAGATTACTTACTTCCAGTAACCAACTTTCTTCTGTCTGCTCTCATATTCGTTAGAGCAAACATTTTCAATTTTAGCAAATACTAAGTTCATCACTTATTCTAGTTTATAAAGGAATATACCGAGTCCAAAAAAATGTCCCCCAAATCCAACAAGAATCAACACATGCATTTGGCAATTCCAAGGAGGTTGGGATGCACAGACATCTTGTTCCAAATAAATAAACTTTCCAGGATCTTTATTTACCGACTTGACAATCGTTAGGTTTGGAAACAACCAGCCAACTTCGCTCCCAAGTTGGCATCTTAGAGAATCCTCCGTTTACAAAACACCCAGGACCTCAGAGCCTCCCATCCCAGAATTGGCCAAGGGAGCACACGCCCATCAGCGCTGCCTGGAGAGGAAACAATGGAAGAGGCGCGAGGGAGCGAGCCCCGCGCCCAGGGCACCCCAACTCCACCGCCCCGGCCCGTCCCCGAAATCGCGCGCGGCGTCCCCTCCCCGGGCGCCCCAGGCCCCCGCCCCCGAGCTTTGGGGGCGCGGCCCACCTGCGACCGCGCGGGCAGAGGGCTGCACTTACCAAACAGGGTCAGGGCCATTGTAAAGGCGCTCGCCAACCGCTCGCCGCCGCCCGCCGGTCCACGCGCTCCTCCCAGGCCCACCCGAGATCACGGCATCGGCCCGCCGCGCTCACACCTCGGAGGGGCGTGGCGGGAACGCCGGCGCGCGGGGAGGCTGCAGGCCGGGACGCAGGGGGCCGCTGCAAGAAAAAGTTGTGTACGCGTTATTGTCAGGCGCACCGGGCAAGGGGAGACCCGCTAGCCCTCGGCGAGCCGGCACTTGTCGCTGCCATCTGTGCACGACGCGGAGCGCGCACGGGCCGCGGTACCTGCCAGGCGGGGAGGCTTGGCTGAGGCGCAGTGGCGGGCGGAGAGGCGGCGCCGCAGTGGCGGCGGCAGCGGGGAGAGGAGCAGCCTCGCAGAGCCCCCGGCGGGGCGCGCTCACTCCGCATCCCGCGGCCTCGCAGACGCCATCTTGCGATAGCGTCTCCCACTGGATCTGCCGCGGCGCCTCCTCCCGCCTCTCCCTCGGGCGGGCGAGCTGAGTGCGTTCCCATGGCAACGGGCGCGCGCAGGGGCCGGGGGCGCGCGCCCCTCCAGCCTGGGTCCGGGAGGACACTCCCCCCGCCACCCGGGAGGCGGCCTCCCGGAGCCCAGCTGGGGAGGGGGCGGTGTGCATTTTAGCTGAAATCCCAGGTTTTGTTTTTTGGGGTTTTTTTCTTGAATGGGATTTGAGAAGGACGCAGAGAGGAGCAACACTGAGCTGTTACTCCAAAGAGGAAGAGAGTCACGCGTGAATGCTCCATGAATACAAGGACCCAACCAGGGTCATCTGGGGATCGGGTTCGTTTGAGGATAAATCTCTCCCCTGGCGCCCTTGGGGTTAAAGCAGAGTCTGGAGCCGATGACCTGAAGCTACGTGACTCGGGAAGGGAGCCTGACGCCGAGCGGAGGAGAGAGGCGCTGAACGTCGCTTTCCATTCCATTTGGACTTAGGAGCCACAAGGAGTAGTTCCGATCAGATTGTCATGTGTGAGGAAACAGGAGTCGGTTAAAAAGCACCCGGGATTACCTAAAATAAATTGTTACAAGGTCAATGTTTAAATGTAATTTTCCTCCTTTTACTTTACACCGCTTTGATATCGTCTCAGGAAAAAAATCAACATTCCTCACTGATTGGCACTTCTCCTTTACCACAAAAGATTGCTCCCCTGAGCTTTTTGCAGTTATCTGAGAATCACTGACAACATCCTTCTTTCTGTGATGTTCTCTGCTGGCCTCTGTCTCTGCCTTAATTAACAAGGAACCATGTAATCGCCTTGAGATTATCAGTCAAAAGATCTTCTTGAAAAGCTTAGGATTTTTTTTTTGGTCGTTTGCATTTAATGTATTCAAAATTTCAGTATTCTCTCGTTGCTATATTTGTTCCCTGTTCTAAAAATTCCTCCTTTTTTCTTCTGTCTCTGCTTAGGGATTTGTTACTGTATCAGCATCTAATCATGAGATATTCTCTTTGGTTCTCATTTCTTCCTACCTGCATCTTTCCTCTTTCAGTTCCTCAGATTCCCTAATGTCATTTTCCCCTTCTAATTTTCAATTAATTCTTTTAAGGATATTATATAAATAGGTTGCATTTAATTTATCTTGAGCATCAAAATCGCTATAAAAATGAAAATTACTACTTCAATTAGAACCACAGTTAATTCATCATCATTTCACAGCCGACTCAAACATCAGAAAGAAAAAGAAAAGGGAGTTAGAAGGAGGAGCTAAGCCTTTTGTTTCATGTCCATTAACTCAAGAAAAAAGACAGTAAAATAATTCAATATGAATGGGCAAATATTTAAGATGCTATAGGCTTGAAATTTTCTGATGTAGTAAAATGGCTCTCCTTTGGCCACTAATATCAAAATAAAACCTGAAATCCCCAGAATTTTAAATCTTTAATGAAAAGGGCTCTTGATTTTGAACAGATTTTCTGCTCATTAAAAATTACAAATGCACAGCTCATGAAGATAAATGAGAAACTTCAAAGGGCTTTGTGGGACAGATTTTATAACCATGTAAAGATTGCTGCTGATTTGTCTGCAACCAGATAAATCACCACTTACTGTCTCAACCAGTGATCTTCAACCAAAGAAGTTTGAAAAAACCCAATTTCCCTTCTAGGCTTTAATGAAAATACTGTCCCTCTTCCTGGAAAAATGTTTATGTCCATGTAGACTCGACGAAATTTTTTCACACTATTTCAGGGGGATTATGGACTATTCCAGGACCCAAGATTAGCCCCCAGATGACTTCTGTAATCTCAGAAAGTTTTGCCTTCATAATGAATGCTTTTAAAAATCTCCCCTTTCACATAAACACATGGATTTTTTTTCAAGAAGGGACCAAGCTACCCCAATTTACAGATTAGGAAACTGAGGCCCAGCAGTCAAAAGATTTTCCCAAATGTGTCTATTTATTGGCAGAACTAACAGGAAAGTCTTAGACCAACTGTTGTCCTCCCTGATCACTTCCCCCACCTTACATTCCCTTCCAATTTAAAGGGTACCTAGTTTAAATTTAAAAAGAAAAATCTGTTTAGTATTAGAAGCAAAGTAGCAAGGAGAGTATTTTTGTTCTCAGCCTTTTTGCATATTTGGGTCTTGTAGTTTGGGAAGTTAAATTTTGTTTCAAAGAGTAGGCTAAGAGAGGAAAGATGCTTTTTCTCTCCTTGTTAAGCTCTCTTGGGTACCAGAGCATCAGAGTTTTTGTGCTACACCTCAGCATGCTGGTAATTCTCTCTGTCCCTTGGGGGTTATCCTTGCGGGGGGATGGGGTTGGGGGAGGGTCAGAGAGATTTAACAGTCCTGTGCTCACACTCACACTCCCATCATAAAGCCAAGCTTTGGTTATTGAAGCAGCTTTGCACTCACTAGTTGTGGCCAAACACAGTTGAATCCTAGTGATAGAGACTCAGCTTAAGCTCAGGTGGGGACCTTATTCCCTTCCCCTTCCTCTTTTCTGTACAAGTCTTGGCGCTCCCACACCCAAAACACAGACGCACACATCCCAAGAGATGTTTTTAGGATACTATTTGAAACAATACAGAATGTTGCCAGGTTTCCCTTTTTAAGTATCTAGCTTTCCACAAGTGATTCCTTTCAATTGATTTCCTAATGGTTTGATGATCTAACAAAATGCTTACTATACTTGATCAAAGTGCTATGTCTTGAAAATCTTATTAGGTTTTATAACATTGTATTATCCAATGAGGAATAGAGTGTGTTTCTTTTCACACTTAGCTGGAAATAAAGCAATAGCCTTTCCGCTACAGATTCAATGTAAGGAAGGGCGTTAACCACTTGGGGGTGATTATTATGGGTGGTGCCTTAGATTGTTTATGAAAAAGGGCAAAGAATGAATTGATTTTTCAAAATATTTATGTTTTCATTCAAAGATTTAATTTTGTGCTTGACATGCAAGCACCTAGAAGAGCTAGATTTATTTGCTGTGTTACTAATATTTAGACAAATGTTTTACTCTTTCTGGTTCCTATCATCCTTCTTTATAAAATGAAGGGATAGGACTAAGTGATCGCTCATGTCTCTTTTAGGTTTAGCTGTCATTCTGTGATATTTTAAGATATTTAAATTAACTGGATTATGAGTAGAACTAGATATTTTTATTTGACTATTCAATATATTTAAAGTGCTGGTATATCTTGTAAGTCTAAGAGTCATAAGTTTCATAAACACCTAGTGTAATAAGGAAGTCAAATTTTATTAAAACATTGTTATTGTGATTTCATCTTCAGTATTTATTATATTAGTATTAGTATAACATTAGTATATTATATTAATATTAGTATAAATTTATTGTATAAAGAACAACACTTTTTTTAGGTTTAACAGGATTAAAATGTAAAGTATGCGCTGAACAATCCATTTCAAATTTATTAAAGCAGTTTCTCATTTTTATTTAAGTTTTGCTGACTAAACAGAACTTAAATAACCCTTAATTTTTTTTCTACATATTCAACTAGCAACTTATCACAAACGTTTTGGGTTTTCTGTGTGTTACTCATTTAGCTTCATTCCCATTGGTAAATATTGATTTGTTCCTCAGTTTTTAATGAAGTAGAAATTAATGAGGCATTTTTCTGCCTCACAATAACAAATTAAAATTATAGCACTTCATCATGCCGACACAGCTTTAAACACTAGGAATACCAGTGCTATTAGCACAGTTCCCAAAATAGTGCATAAGTTTGCTGTTGAAGAAAAAAATTACAGAGCATTTCTGCTAATGTCATAAAAACATTTTCTATTCCTCTGCTATGCTGATTAAGATTTAAATTATTTATGAAAAATATTCACAATGTGACAGTCTCTCTATCCTATATTTACTTATATTACCAGTTGAAGTATTTCTGTCCATACTGTGAATTTGTTTAAAGTGGATTTGGTCTGTTTTTAATAATGTTTGCCTCAAATACTTAATCCAGATGAGTTTTTTCTCCCTCTCTTTTTTATCTGAAGCTTTCTTAATTAATACTTTTCCTGATATTTGCATCTTATCCCACGATTTATAAATAGGACTTTCACAGGGCAAACCCACATACATAGTATTATTAGAGGCAGCATTTGTCTTGAACCATGCATTTGGACCATAAAACTAGGAAAAAAAGAATATTTATATGATAAGCTATAAAATTGGCCTTTAAGCTTAAATAAATCAAGTTACGTTTAGGAGAATTAGTGGTGGTGTGTTGACCACCAGGGGATGCCTAAATTATATCCACAGAAGTAATCTTGGATCTCAGAAATGAAGTAAAATTTGAAAAATACAAAGACATTCTTGAGAATTGAAAATCTCAGTTCCCCTACACAGTGCTTACAGTAACAGAAGAGAATCCCACCCAAATTATGTTAAAAGAGGAGAAGGCTATTGACTGGTCAGGCACAGATTTGGAATTGTGTATTACTGAGCAGTGTTTGCTCGGTCCTTATTATATCACTTCTAAAGTGAAAAAAAAACTGTGTTTGTAGAAGGGGTGTGTGTGTGTGTGTGTGTGTGTGTGTGTGTGTGTGTGTGTGTGTGTGTGTAGGTAAGAAGATACGGAAAATTGGAATTCAAAAGCAGAATTATAAGGTTTTCTATTCCTGACCCATGATAATAGATTTGTGGTTAATTGTTCAGCTTGGAGAGAAAATTTTAGGTGATG